TCATTTAAACTATGAAAAATATGGGGTCAGTTTGATTTTCATATTTGATTTTAAACTTAAATCTATATGTAAATTAAAGCGTACTTCCGAAGCGGGCGACGAGATTTCGATTCCGGTGACCGACAGCTTCTTACGGGCAACTCCACCACCCCTCCCAACTTTTTATCGCCGACACATACCAAATATATTCTATTTGAAATAAAAACTTAAAAAAAAAACAAAATAAAAAAATAAAAAGTGATCCCAAACGGCCTCTAAACTACCCATAATAGTTGGGCCAAAGTTTGGATCGATAATAGAGGATTTTTTCAAGTACGGGTCATGCTTATTTAAAAGTCAAAACATTAACTAACACCTAGAATAGAAGCAGGTTATCTAGGTGGAAAAACCTTCTTAACTGCTGCTTGACCTGAATTTTTCAACAACAAAGAGAAAAAGAGAGGAATAGATCTATGAATCTACCCCGCCTATGGTTCTTGAAACATGGGAAACTTACATACATATCACACAATTCTTATATATTTACATATCTAACACCTAAAGTTTGATATCTACACTTGGGACACCTTGGTGTCATAAACCTATGCATGAAAGGTGTATCACACATTTCTAGGGTATTTACATATCTAACACCTAAATTTTAATATTTACACTTATGACACCTCATTTTATAAACCTATGGATGAAAAGGTGTATTCCATTTTTAAAGAGATAGCGATAGTGGTAATTTTGATTTGATGTTAAAGATTTGAGTGGTATGCGTGTAAATATGGACGTTTAGGTGTTAGGTATGTAAATACATAAAAATTGTGTGATATGTATGTAAATGCCCCTTGAAACAATCAAAGCTCACATGACTAGAAGAACAATGGCATTCTGAGCAAGCTCAAGAATTTACGTGATATCAGAAAATTTGGGTGAAATGTTCACTGGTTACAGGAAAATGAGTAAATTCACGCAGCAAATGCGTAAATCTTTTTTAGCCAACAAAGTTAAATACCTCTCCCAATGAATGAAAACTTAGCTCAAGAAGAAAAGAAATTAGATCAAAGAAATCAGATCAGTGGGATCTACTCCACGTTCCTGCGCCATATTAAAAAAGACAAAACGTTAGAAAAGTCCTATAGCATAGCATAAAAGTAAATAAAGATGACCAGAGAAGCTTTATCAACACCAGATAGCAGAATGTGTAACTGATAGGGCTATAAATGAACCAATGCACTCGATGAACAACTCAAACTTGAAAAAATTAAGGCTCGAATCTTAAATGAACTAAACACGAACATGATTAAACTTGTTCATTTATATGTTCATGAACAAAATCGTTTGTGGTTCACAAATAACTTATTAAATACTCAATATTAAGCTCGAATATAACTCATATTATATATCATATATTATTTAAATAAAATTTGATTAGCTAAAATTTATTTAATTATAGATTTAATAGTAATATATTATTATATCAATAATATTTTTAAATTAATTATTAATTATATATTTAGTTTATTATCAAATATTAACTATTTACAAATTAACATGATGAAATTCTAAAAGTGACCATCATTTTTTGTTCAGTCTCTTTTATTATACTTGATCCAATTGCCTTTAATTTTTTTCACTTATTTCTACGATTGATGAATGATTTTACATTATGAGTTGCTTTGTAATACCACTTTATTTAGATTTTTTTTCCCTTGTTTAAATATCTTTTTCTCGATTTTAGAATTCAATATTGTGGGAATATATCAATTATAGACACTAGATGACAACATGTGTTTTAGTTCATTTACTTATATGATTTATTCAATTGATTATTTATTCAGATTTGTAAAATTATTTATTATATTTTTATATAAAAAACTAGATACTTGTTCGAATAACGATATGTGAAAGGTCTTCAAAAGCTCAAGCCGAACATAAACAATTTATAATTGTACGAAGCCAAGTTTAAACTAAGGTATACTCGGCTTGGCCCTAGTGATTGATGAAAAATACCAAAAGTTGCAGCATTTTGCTCTTACCTCAGAAGTTGTAATGTATTCTCTTATTATATACCAAAGTTGAGCATTTGTATCCATCAGCTGCACATTAGAAAAAGAGGCATTTACATACATACATATCTAACACCTAAAGTTTACTTTTTACATTTCTACCACCCAAAAACTTCAGATCACATAAAAAACACCACCATTTTAAATTTAAGAAAGTGAACTTCATGCATAGATAATGCAGCATTATGTAAAAATTAAAATTTAGGTGTTACATAGGAATTGAGTGGTATATATATAAAATTCCAGAAGAAGAAAAGATGAGAATGATGAACTTTTACAGAACTCCAATTAATACACAATAACAACTCAAAAAACACGCACCAGGAATTGGAAACCATGCTCCGTTAACCTTGAAGCATCATTTTCTCTGCAGAAAAAAATGCGCAATCAACCAACATGAGCAAACCTATAAATTATACATATTTTAAGAATTAATCCATGACATTTTAATAATCATCTGAGCAAAGAAGACGTATTAGAAACTGATAACCTGGAACTCAAGAGGCCACGCTGAAAGGCTCTGATCATAGATGAACTGAAACTCGTCAACCTTTCTGCTTGAGCTGAATTTATGAGTTGTAACAAGAAACACTGGTTTTACCATGTAATGGTAGATGTCAAGAAATATAAATAGCATGTAAAACTAAGGAATTGTAAGTATGAAGAGTTTACCTCCCATTGCTTGTTTGCGTAGGATTCCAATTCCTCCAAAGTTGGCAATCTCACTGCTACGCCCAAGGACATTGGCTCCCTAGACAAAGTACCGCTGTGGAACAATTTTAAAGATATAAAAGCTGATTACTAATGCAGTTGAATGATTATATAAAAAGACAATGGAAAAAAGTTCTTGGAAATTTACATACTTAGCACAAAATTCTTATGTATTTATATATCTCACACGAAAACATTCATATTTACAAACATAACACTCAAATCTTTAATATCACATAAAAATACCACAATTACTAACTTCTTAAAAGTGAAATGCACATTTGTCAGGACCGACCTGATGCTTGGAATTAATCAAGGTGGGAACATACAATCGAACAGTGGGAACTAAATTTTCTATTTTACCATTTATCAAATGAAAGAATCACTAATTAATTTAAATTAAAGCAATACAATTAAATTTACCCCACTATTGGTTGTCCGTGTCTTCAATAAATATTATCTCTTCAATCGCTCATCTTTTAATCAATTAATTAACCTAGTAATTTAGTTTAAAATAACAATGAATTAACAAGTCAGTAAATGTTAATACTCCTAAACTACTATAATACAAGGAAGAATAAATTAAAATGCATGCCAGTTATATTTTTAATAAATCAATATTAACATTTAAGATTATATTCAATAAATCTTACAATATTAATAGCATATCATTTTATATCTGTATAACCATCACAGGAGCTCCTCTTTTGCTTGTCTTCCTTCTGGATCGCATGATAGCTTCTCTTCCACACGATCCTGTCTACGCGCGGGAGCTATTTTGGATTGCACGAGAGCTCCTCAACAGAGTTGTTGCAATGTCTTCCTCTTTGACTCCCTTGCTCGCGGCTCGACGCCTCCACCTCCTCTGTTACGCTCCCTTCTCTTTGCCCTAGCCCCACTCACCGCAACTGCATAATCCTGAGAGTCCTCTGCTTCCCTCGTCACTGTCATTCGACTCTCAAGTTAGTCATTCTCACCTTTGCCTCTCTCAAGCGCGTACCTTTATAGGGAGAAAGTAACCTTTGGTTTCCTGACACCTCGCCTCATCTTCCCCCCAATTTTGACTCTTCATTTCCTCTTCCAGCTCTTCATTTCATTTTCCCCGAGTAACAGAACTGGACTCTACAATCTTCCTCACAATACTTTCATCCTCGAAATTTATAAATATACATTAAGTCATTTCTCCTGACGTAGATCGACATGATTTATCCATAAATTTTCTATCGAACTTCTTCCTATAAATTTAATTGTATTGCTATGTCTGAATGAAAGAATTTATTGATTTAACTTAAATTTTTTATTTTTTTTATTATTGAAGCTTTCTTATAACTCTTTCACCAATATTTCATTAATTAATCATAAATATGGTTCTGATATCATTTTTTCATGAACTGGCCCAAGGCTTGAAATTAACTAAGGCGGGAACAAACGGTCGAATAGTGAGAATTACATTTTTGTAATATATTTGTTTACCATTTATCAAATGAAAGAGTCACTAATTAATTTAAATTAAAATAATATAATTTAATTTACTTCTTTATTGATTGTTCGCATCTTCTGTAAACATTACTCTTTTATCGCTCATCATTTAGTCACTTAATTAACCTAAAAAAATAGTTTATAATAACAAAGAACTAAACAAATCATTGAATACTCATGCTCCTAAACTACATTAATATAAGAAAAAATATCAAAATGCATGTTGATTAAACTTTTTATAAATCAATATTAAGATATTATTTAATGAATATTACTATATCAATAGCATATCATTCTATATTTGTACAACTGTTACAAGAATATCGTCAAAAAATTATGCCACTTAAGGTACTTTAATATCAATATCCTTTTTCATATACATGCACAAATACGTTAACGTTTTCCCTCTAGTACCATAAAGGGATAACTTCATCATAGTCAATTATGCAAATATAAGCAATCAACAAAAGCATATCATTCATATGTTTGTTGATTTCAATTCAACATATTATATATAAAATATACCAGTGCATGATATTAAGTATTAACAAGCATTTCTAACAATATAACCAATAAAAGAAAACATATAAATCAAAATAAAGCTTATATAAGTATCTACTAAAGCAAAACACTGGAGAAGAACTTAAATATTATCATAGATTAAGAGTATGAGTATTCACCTTGGTGATAGATGATTTGTTTGCTCTTAATTTGTATTACTTCTATCAAAGTATCATCTATAAAATATAAATATTCAATTATCGTTTTACTTAATTGTGTTTTAATTTAATTATGAATTATTGTTGTATTGCATTTTATTTAGAATTTGAATACTTCAAACTTTAAGTTTAATCAAAATAAATATTAAATATTATTAATTTATACAAAAAATACTTTTAGAATTAAGACCCTGACATTTCTTTAGTGTTAAAATCAAATGCACTCAAGTTTAATGATTAAATAATAACTTAATTATACAAACAAACCCTTGCCTCTTATGTCGAAAAAAAAATCGCATGAGTTATGAAGTTGTCGTTCTACTTTTTCTCCTTCGAGCACAACAAGTCTTCCTCTGACTATGTATCAGCTTGATCGCATGCTAGAGAGCTCATCTTCTTCTCAGCGTGCAATAAACGACTTATCTTCCTTCTAGATTGCATGATAGCTTCTCTTCCACACGATCATGTCTATGCGTGAGAGCTGTTCTGGATCGCACGAGAGCTCCTCAACAGAGTTGTTGCAATGTCTTCCTCTTCAACTCCCTTGCTTGTGGCTTGACACCAACGCCAACACCTCCTCTGTTACGCTCCCTTCTCTTTGCCTTAGCCCCACTCACCATAACCACACAATCCCGAGAGTCATCTGCTTCCCTCATAATTGTCGTTCGACTCTCAGATAAATCATTCTCACCTCTGCCTCTCTCAAGCGCGTCCCTTTTTAGGGCGAAAGTAACCTTTGATTTCCCAACACCTCTTCGCATCTTCCCCCTAGTTTGACTCTTCATTTCGTCTTTTGGCTCTTCGTTTCTTTTTTGTAGAGTAACTGAAACGAGACTTTACAATCTTCATCACAAAACTTTCGTCCTCAAAATTTATAAATAAACTGAGACATTCTACTTAAGCAGGTCGACATGATTTATCCATAAATTTTCTATCGAATTCCCTTCTATAATTTTTGGTGTATCACTATGCCAAAATAAATATAATTATTAATTTGAGTTAACCTAAAATTTTAATTTTTATTACTATTAAAATGTTCTTATAATTATCCCCATGGGCTCTTTCATCAATATTTCCTTAACTAATCCTAAACATAACTCTGATACCACTTTTGTCATGACCCGGCCAGGGGCTTGAAATTAAGTAATGTGAGAACAAACGATCGGATAGTAGAAACTAAGTTTTCTATATTCATTTACCATTTAACAAATGAAAGAGTCGCTAATTAATTTAATATAAATTAATCTAATTAAATTTAACTCTATATTAGTTATCCATATCTCTTCCATCACTATTTTTTTAATCACTTAATTAATCTGAAAAATTAATTTATAATAGCAATGATTTAAACAAGTCAGTAACTACTAATACTTCTAAACTATAATAATATAAGAAAAAAAAGTCAAAATGCATGTTAGTTAAACTTTTAATAAATTAATATTAACATTTAAATAACTTAATTATACAAACATATTCTTACCTCTTATGTTGGAAAAAAAATTCAAATGAGGGGTTCTGAAGTCGATGCTCTTCTTCTTTTTTCTCCTTCGAGCATGACAAGTCTTCCTTTGCCTATGTATCGGCTCGATCACACGCTGGAGAGCTCCTCTTCTTCTCGGTATGGGACAAACGGCTTGTCTTCCATCTGAATCGCATGATAGCTTCTCTTTCACACAATCCTGTCCGCGCGCGAAAATTGTTTTGTATCGCAGTCTGTATCGCACAAGAGCTCCTCAATAAAGTTGTTGCAATGTTTTCCTCTTTGACTCACTTGCTCGGGCTCGACACCAACGCTGAAACCTCCTCTGCTGCGCTCCCTTCTCTTTGCCCTAGCCTTACTCACCGCAACAACGCAATCTTGAGAGTCATTCGCTTCCCTCGTCGCTGACGTTTGACTCTCAAGTAAGTCGTTCTCACCTCTGCCTCCCTGCATCCCTTTATAGGGCGAAAACAACATCTGGTTTCACGACTCAACGCCTCATCTTTCCCCCTAGTTCGACTCTTCATTTCCTCTTTTGGCTTTTTGTTTCTTGTTCCCAAGTAACCGAAATGGGACTTTACAAACATTTTCATGCGAAGTTGTGACATCAAAGTGGTATAAATGTAAATAACAAACACTAGGTGATAGATATGTAAATATATAAGAATTGTGTGTTATGTATGTAAAATTCCCAAAAATGTTTTCTAAGGGGGAGCATATAGTTCCCTTGTGGTCAATCCGTTGGCATAAAAACATAATCTGCAACATATGCCAAAAACATGAATTGCGAACTCTTTTAATTTTTGTGAAATTTACATATGTGCCAAAGAGTTCACATGAATTTACACATCTCACCTAAAGGTCCATATTTACATTTATGATACAGCGGTGTCATATTGCCATGTACCTATGCCAAAAAAAGGTGCATTTGACTTTTAAAAATTTAGTAAAGTGATAATTTTGATGTGATGTTAAAGACGTGAGCATTATGAATGTAAATATTAAAGTTTAGGCGTTAGATATGTAAATACATAAGAATTATGACGTATGTATGTAAATTCCAATTAATTTTTACAACTCATTGTTCTTCTCATGTTTTTCCTTTTTAGATATTTATGATGTTATCAATGTACTGGAGAAATGACAGATGATGAAGATCAAGCTTATAAGTTCATTTCATTTGATCACTTTTACCACCTAGAATGTATCCAAAGAACCAAAATTTACCTTAAATTCCTCCATTTGATTTCTTTGGTCATTTTTTTAGGAACTAAATGCATCCTTCTTACTTTCATCATGCTCGAATGACGCTAATCTAAATTGACACATCACTCTTAATAATACCTCACAAGTTCTTCAATATGTAAATATTTTAGCTTTCTAAGTTAGAATATCATTTCAAAAATAAAATTATGTCATTTCAAATACCTAAAAGATTAGTTTTTAATATGGATCTTTAAACATATTAAAATTGCTTGATATAATAAATCAAATTAGATAGTTCAATGTCAAAGTTGAAATTATTTTATGTAAGTAAGGTGCCAAAGTAGTCGTCGACTATTTATATAGGGTCGTTTTAGGCCCAAAGTTCATATAAGCGCTGAAATAGCCCTCGACTTTAAAATTGAGCTCTATTGGTCCTCCAATAGGGATTATTTTAACCCTAATTTAAGGATTATGTGACTAATTTGAGACTTTTAGAAATGGTAGGATTAAAGTGACCTCATACAAATGATCGAAAACTATTTTGGCACTTTACTCTTATTTATGCCGAGTAGGAACTTGTACTGTTGTACACTCTCATTTACTATTTATTTCACGAACATTGTTTATTTTTATTTATGGGAGTAAGAGTTTTTACACTCAGTCTTCTTTTGTTATCTTCTTATATTGCTATCTTCAAGGAATCTCAATTACAATTTATCTAATATGCCAAGTTATTGCCAATTACAAGTTGAAGTGTTGCAGTATACAGTGACTAAGTTGTTATTTTGTTCTACGTCAAGAAAAATGCTCTTGATCATAAATAGGGTTGAGTTATTATCAACATTGCAACAAGCCACTTTGTCGCGTCTCAAATTTCTCTGATAGTTTTTTCCTACATAAAATGTTCTCCAATCTTATGCATGGAATTAATTAAACACTACCATATTATTTTTCTCATTCTATGTTAAAAATTAGGATCCTTTTCATTTGGTACAAGAGCGGCATCTATAAGAATATTCATGTCATTCCCTTAGACAAACATCATCACTAAATGAAATCATCGGATGAAGTTCCGTTGCGAGTGGTGAGAGAAAAAGTTATGGGGATAGCCCAACATCATCACTAAATGAAATCATTGGATGAAGTTCCGTTGGGAGCGGTGAGAGAAAAATTATGAGGAAGAGCTATGCTGAGTTACTCTAATATTATATAGAAACATGTTAGAAAACTTTATTGATAGAAGAACCGTCTAAATAAAGGAGATGATTGATAATTTGCCCATTAATAACAAAAATACTTTCCAAAACAAAAGAGTTTCAGAGGCTATCTAAATGTAACTTCTAAACTGCAATTATGACTATGAGAAGAATAACAAAATGAGCACCAAGAATGTGAACCATTATATGATAACATTTATTATAATGAAATGTTAGTTTTATCCATTCATCAATCCAAGTTGTAATTCTTGATAAATCAACAACAAGCCTTTATCCCACTAAGTGGGGTCCGACATGTGAATCCTTTTTCTCCATTGTGTCCTGCTGAGTGTCATATTTTCATTCAATTCTACATGAATCCTACTTCTGGATAAAAGATTCTGACAAAATTATTCATAGCAGTTGATAGCAAGTGAGACCATAAAATTGAAAGTGACTAAACGAATACGTACCATGCAGAATATAGTGATTAGTAGTTGAAATGAGTGCAAATATTTATATATTGTCTAACCAAAGAGACATAAAAATGCCTATATAAATAAAACAATGAATCCATGTTGATCAATTTCTAGTATTTAATATTTAATAAAAGTTCAACGACACTAGCAGGATGTTGCAACTAACGTCTGTCTAGCCATTATTCATAATTCTAATCAGCATTTCCCTCAAGTATGTGTGAAATTATGCTCCTTATAGAAAAATAGTAAGCAGCACAATAGGAGCCTAAATAATCGTTAGGCATGGATATCTTCCGACCTTCTTAATGAAGCCACCTTCTAAAATTATATTGTCTTACAACTTGGGCCTACAAAAATGAATTGTAACCTTCAAAATTTAAATTGTAGTCAATAAGAGAAGAAAAATAAAGTGAGACGAAAGTGGTTCCTATTGAATACAAAATAGGAGAAAATAGACTTAGAAGATTTAAAAATGCATAACAGAAGAAATATTTTCTAGTAAAGCGCATAAATAGAATGACACGAGATGAGCTAAGAACTTGCTTATTACTCAATGGAATTAATGGAGAAAGAAGATTTACAAAGCATAACCAAAATAATTCAAAAAAATTTTATGCTGATTACAGAGAAAAGAAAATTAACTTACCCTTGTACCAAGTACTTTTTCAAGCTGCTCTGAAAAATAGGATTCATTCTGTAACTAGTGTCCTTCTTCCTGCTGGAGATTAAAAAGAAGATTAGTAGCATGCAAGCTCTTTGATAGCGCACTTCCGCTAAAACTTCTAATAGCATGTTTCAAGATTCATAACTTCTATTAGACACCTAAAGGAGTATACAACAATTATATGATCAGTATTCATAAAAAGATAACAAAGTAACTTCGAAGATGGCGTGTTTATTCTAGCAGATAGATTAATGAGCCTATTTAAAAAAAAAACAGCAAAAAAGTCTTGAGAAAAGTTCAACCAATCAAACCTGTCATTAATTTCAAGAAAAACTCTCAGCTGCAATAACCGCTCGATTGCAACTCTATGCTTAGAGAATCCATCTGGCAGAACCCACTCTTCAAATGACTTAGCTGTTACTGGGGATTCAATAAATAGCATTTGCAAAGCATACTTCTTAGCCAACGGTGGCAAAGATCTATTCAAAAGAGAGAAATTAGAGCAGATTTCAAGTTCAAAATTTACATTTTCACCAGCCCAAGAATGCCACATTGCTCATAAAGAGACGGTTCAGAACATAACATAAACTTTTCAGTACCCTTAACACTAAAAACAAATAGGTGTAAATGTAAATTAATTTCCTAAGTAGAACTTTGATTGAAACAATAGTTGAAGAAGTGAGAAAGTACAGTAAACTAAACAGAAAACCAAGTTTGCAGAGAAATATATAAAAAGGAGTTAACAATATGATACAAACAAGTAGACCAAAGAAAAGGTAAAATTATATATGCTTGCACAATTTATTTAAGGCAGATGTGAAGATTCCAAAAATTTCTAGTCAACATTGCATGTGATAGAAAGAGAAGTAAGATTTAAAACAAACACTAAACTTCTAGTAGAGATGTAAAGCTACAAATATGGCACATATACCTGAGCACAGCCTCACAAATAAAGGTGCTCTCGTAGAGCTTGTCGAGCTTCATGGCAGGAAGCCCTGCCACCATGTCCATGAAGTTCTTCGGGACAATCCTCACTTGTGGCATCCTTGCTCTCCCTCTTGTTCAAACCACTGATGCGAATATGAAACATTTTGTTAGGGGCCATTTGGTTGAATTTTATTTAGATAGTAAAGATATTTATGTAGCAATGTCATTTAGATAGCCAAGTTAAATCTAGAATGCAATGTATTTGATTCAAGTTGTCAACTTTATGGAAAGCATTACATTCTAAAATAAAAGCCGTTTGGCTTGATGCTATTTATAGTGTGCATTGCACCAATCGGTAAGATGATCATCTTTCGGAAAATAAAGCTAATTCTAACCTATATTAATAGTGGTGTCCAAAATCCTATTTATGAAGGTCAAACCTTTCAACAATCACATTTAGAGTCAACATCTTTTAACTGAAAAAAAGAATGTCAAGGACAATTTCCAATGAATGAAATAATTACAAGAGAATTTGGCTATAGAATTTAATATTAGAAGTTCAAACTTTCACACAAAAATAAAAACTAAATATCATGCACAAAACAAAAGATATGAGAGAACAAAGAAAGAATATCAAGTAAACTATGAAATTGTGACTAATAAACTTGGATGCATGTTAAAATCAAATAGGACCTATTACATGGATTGCTTATGCTTCCATAGATTAGGTGGGGTTTGATGTATTTTAAGAGGCGCTTTAAAATGTAATGTATTTTATTAAATTAAAGTTGTTTGGTTTCATGTAAAATAAATTTAGGCAACGTTTTATATTTTTTAGTTGGATATAAAATTTGAAGGTCCATAATGCATTACAATAATGTTACCACCCCACCACCTTTTTTTGGTGAGCTCTATGATAGGACAATGCTAGTCTCATTTATTAAATATTATACCATAACATTAGAGGCATATTCCATATGCTCCATAATAATCATTTTGTTTTTCTAATCATATAAAATCTATGACGTCTTTTTTAACTATTGGATATGACTCCATTGTAAATATGCTTCTCCGATTGTATAATTAGCCCTTACATTATTTTATAGATATTTTAATATCAAACCTCTCATTCACTTTTTTAGTTGCACAATAGCATCAAAATTTTATCATCCTTAAAATTACATAAGCTCTTTCAGACTACCATAACAAATTATAAAATGACATTATTTATTGCTTAATTGTATATTGCATGGAGTCTTCAAACTAGGAAGCCTAATGAAACTATTTTATATTTCCTCAATAGCCTACCATAATATTTTAAAATATAAACTAATATATTCTCTTGAACACTGAAAATTAAAGTGGATAACACAATTATAAATACAATGTTTAAGGGTATGAAGGAACACAGTGACTTACTCAACAAAAAAGTAAATAGTGTCCACAAGAAAACCTTAGAATGAAAAAAAAAAAAATACAAAAGAAAGCAAAACTTAAAATCCTCATGCTACATACCTACATACAAGCTATGAAAATAAGTATCAAGCTTTGTCAAGCCAAATTTATAACATTCAATTAATTAAAATTCAAATGATTTGTTTTCCAAATTTTAGATCATTCAATTCATCGGTCATGCATATGTAACACCAACATTTTACAGTGTGATTGCTCAAATGACACGATTCAACATTTCTAAATATAATTCCATGTATCATGTTATTCTATAAGCAACTAAACATCACAAACTTCAATATATAATTTATGATGTATCCCTCACATTGCTTGATGTATTCTTTGAGTTTTTAAATTTTTCATTGACCCGTATTTCATGAACCTTCCCAGCATTACCATACTTTCTGGATTATTGAATTTCACGCTATCATCTCCAAACTCATGGAAGGGTAATATAAATTCATGCTTTATCCTATATTCCCAAGCCTATCAAGCCCAATTCCATCATCTTTGTGGTCATGTTTCACTAAGTTGTTCTCTAGCATAATTAACTCTTTGTGTTAGCTATTTTACTAAGGATTTGAAGAAGAATGTAAACTATGATAATATTTGAAATGATTCATATTATTTGTATTTTTACTTGAAACCATTAAAACTTTCTAATAAATACATCCATGTCCAAATCCTCTGCATGGTTTCTTCAATCTTCTTCTCTTATATTTTTGTTGAAATTATGCTTAATGATTAGATTGTTGCATAACCAAAGAGGTTTCATTTTTATTTATTGATTTATTTTTACTTCCATTCTTTTGTCAAATATAACATGTCTTTTGCTAATGAAATATGAAAGTTATGTTTATTTAAATTTAGAAATTATCTTATAGTAAATTAGGCTCCATCCCCCACCACCATCCTTGTTTTTGCATTTGAACAATACAAGTCTACATTCATTACTTCATCAATTACATATAATTTCAATTCTAAAAGTAACTTAAAACTTCACTACAATAATCAAGCTTTAAAAATAAAATTTAAGTTCTTAGATGGAGATTTGCAAGGAAATAAAAAAAGAGTTAATTAGACATTTTCTAATGAGACAACTTTGTATGAAATTTATCATTGAAGCCATGGTTCAAATTGAATCATTTTTAATAAGCAACTTACAATACTATATGATACGTTCTACTTTTGAAAGCTATACAAGAACCCATTGGAATTATTCTACATATACACCTTGATATCATGTGTAAGAAGCTAAAAAATAAATCGGGGAATTTCCTGTAGTAGTCCGAACTTTCACCGATCAAGTTGTCCACTTTGACCTAATGACCATGATATTGTCCAATTGTTGTAACTTCCTAGAAAGTCGCACATCACAAAAGTGCTCCCATACAAGCACACTTAATTTTGAAGTTTCTATTGAAATTCCAACTGTTGTACCTAAAAGTGTCTCAATGTTTAAGAGTTATGCTTTATTTTACTTGAGGGATTTCACAATCTCCCCCACTTAAGTAATCGACGTTCTCTTTAGTATTCTTAACTCAAAATCATCAAAATAGTATAATGCTTTGATAACATTTGTAATAACCCAAACTCTCACCCATTGAGATATTGACTTCTTTGCCCTCATGATTTTGTCCAATTTGTGTAACTTACAAAGAGGTCACCCATTTCATGAGTGCTCTCATAGCATGCTTAACTTTGGAGTTTTTGTTGAAATTCTAACCGTCACACCAAAAGGTAACTAAATATTTAAGAGTCTACTTCATTTTATTAAAGGAGTTTCACATTTTTTAATGTAGTTTTCAAATAAGTCAACAAGAATCTTATACGAGTAAATCAATAAGAATGTGTTTTTCAAAAAGCAACAGCTTCATACTAAATCACAACACGTTAGTATGCAAGACTTATGAGTCTCAAGATAACAAACGATTTTTCTAGCTACTCATAAGCATAAAAATAAGCTTAATTTCCATGTTCGTGTCTCTAAAAAGAGCATGTGATATAAATGAAATACGTATTAATGAAAACATGTGAAAGGTAAGTTCACATTTTTTGCACATCTATTTTTTGTTTCTTCTAATATTTTAATGACAGGCTTTCAATAAATTATTTTTTTATTAATGGCACATAATAGTTGTGAATCAAAGAGAATACTATGACAGATGAATGTGAATATTAGTGATGAGATCATTAAGATTTAGGGATGGTTGATTAACTATGTTTTGTATACCATATTATTTCCATGTTTATTATAGTTGAAGGAAATATACCCGTGTTCTTACAAGAAGCTCCTATATGATCAAGAAGTTAATAGAATTTATATCTTTGGAAAAAGAATATCTCAAAAGAATATTAAGTGTTATTTTATATCTCTGAAACATATAAAATAAATGAAAGCTATTGGTAAGTGTGCCTAAGTTATACATTCAAACAAAATATAATTATAAAATAGGAAAATCAATCAAGCATATATTAACATTTTTTTACTGAAATGAATCAAACACCTAATACATTACAACCATGCATCTAACTCAAACACAAAAGATTATATAAGCAACATTAAAACATGAGATGTTCCCTTTTCCAATAGATTCATTAACAAACATAGAAATATTTCCCTTGAAAATGTACAAATAAAAAACCAAATAAATAGATTTTAGAGAGATTTGATAAAAGATACTCAAAGCACACCAATTCGAAGCCCTCCATAACCCTTCTTCTCCTGGTCTTCCATTTGCCGCTTTTAATTATACAAAACTTTTGTAATTCAATTTAAAAAAGCATTTAGACTTCACCAAAGAACAGTGGGTTTCAATTCCACCTTTTCTTCACTGGGTATAGAATAAGAGCGGCCTGTGTGGGAGTATTATTCCTTCAGAAAAAAATTACCTCCTCAGCGGACTAATCCTAGAGTTTCTCAGAAGTTCTTCTTCTCCGTCGTTTGGGGCTTCTCCGGCGAAGACGACCGGCCGGCAAAGAGGAGTAGCCTTCTTCTCCGTCCTTGGTGATTTCTCAGACAGCCTTCTTGTTCGGTTCCGGGTAAGATGGTTCCTCCGGCAGCTTCAGGCTTCTGAAACGGGAGATCGGCGGCTCCTCTCGCGAAGCAGAGCTTAAATAACATTTTTTAGAAGGAGAGTCGGAATTTACTTCAGACAAAGTTATTGAGTTGTTTAATTGTTCTAAAAATGAAATAATAAAATTTTACATTTTTACTTACTTTTTTATCAGCAAGTATGCTGT